CGTGAGTGTTGATAGTTGATCCAAGAAGAATGAAGTCCTTGACATTAATGAGCAGAAATGAATAGGTATTGGTCATTTTGAATCTGACAATCACATGATTTACTATGCCAGGAATGACAAATTGAATAGGACTGGTATTGCGTTCATCATCAAGAACATTTCAAGATCTGTCTTGAAATACAGTGCTGTCTGGGATAGGATAATATCCATATGCCTACAAGGAAGACCAATTAATACAACTATTATTCAAATTTATGTGTACCAACCACTAAAGCCAGGGATAATGAAACTGAAGAATTCTACCAACTTTTTTAGTCTAAAATTGATCAAACATGCAGTCAAGGTGTATTGATAATTATTGGCGATTGAAATGCAAAGGTCGGAAACAAAGAAGATGAATCAGTAGTTGGAAAATGTGGCCTTGCTTTCACTGAGGTTACTGGCATGTGGAAGCTTGTTGTTGTTAAGTGCTGTCGAGTCGATTCCGACACATAGCGACCCCGTATAGGGTTTCCAAGGGTCAGCTGGTGAGCTTGAACCACTGATTTTGCAGTTCAAATGACTTTGCAATCTGATACATTAGCCCACAGCGCCTTACCAGGGCTCCATGTGGAAGCTTGAGGTAGGGCTAATTTGAAGCAGAGCATTTTATGGGATTGGTTTTGGAAGGACATATCTGACTTTCTCTGGTTGGTCCTAAATTGGAAGACATGGTTATTGTTGTTGTTGTTAAGTACCATGGAGTCAGTTCTGACTCATAATGACCCTGCACAGTGTTTCCAAGGCTGTAAATCTTTACGGGAGCAGAACGCCTCATCTTTCTCCCACAGAACCACTGGTAGTTTCAAACTTCTGACCATGAGGTTGGCAGCCTGACTCATAACCACTACGCTACCAGAGATCCTTGGAAGGCATGATAGAGGTGTGCAAAGAATAGGAAAACAGGTAGTCATTGATTAAGACTTGATGGTTCCAGGTCACTTGCTGGTTCAGAGTTCTATTACTGTATATAGTCTGGGCATTGGTCATTTGTATATTCAGTGTCTCATGATACTTGGCATGTGCAAAAATATATGACATCTAAAATGGGGCTACAACATGCCCAGTGAAGGAGGCTTCTTGCAGAGTCTCTGCATTATATAAGACAATAGGTGGAATCCTGAACAGCATCCAGAATCTTCTGAGGTGGGACATTTCAACTTGAAAAGACAAGCAGACCAGCCTGGAGAGACTAGAAGAACAGAAGAGACTTCTTGAAAGAAAGATTGACAGGAAAAATA